GGGTACAGACAGGGAATAAAAGACGAACATAACAATACAATTTAAAACACACAACAACCATACCATTCGAGGAGGGGGGTTATTGAATAATCAACAATTGACTGAGTTTCATAAACAAGTGCTTACATTTACATATTATAGATGGATCACACCATATAATAGATTTGATTGGGAACAGGATTAAGGAGTGGATAGTTTGCAAGTAAACATGCTGTGAGATGTTATCTATTATCTAATACATTGTTTGAATTAGGCTTTTAAACATAACCACAATATAGCTAGCAATTGCTTTTGTCAACCAGATTTAGGGTTAGCTTGTTTCATGAACTTAGTTAACCTGCTTCATCATCCTAGTTCAAATACAAAGTTGGAGTCTTTGTTTGCAACTGACTCTGCATTTCTTAGCACAAATGACTTCCAGCATACAAGAATAGATTCACTCTTTTTGATTTCAACTCAAAGACATCAAGCTAAAACAGCTGCCACTTGAGTTTAGTCCATATTTTTTGCTTCCCAGCCTGTCAAGTGCAAAGAATAAGGATTTGTAAGGTTGTAGCATAAAAAATGTATTCAAGCTTATACATAAGTATCTGGTCAACTAAAATTCAATAATAAAATTGGTGCCAGATAAGGGTCAATGGAGTTCAGGAGAGGTTGGACTTGGAGTACTTGTGGTAAAGCCATGACTCTAAACTGATGATGGGATTAATTCTGGCAGTCCAGCTCTGCAAGCTCATCTTGAACACATTCCCTCTTTTGGGTCTGTGGGAATGGAGGCAGGAGGACAGGCAGTCATTGTATAAGGGAGATAACACTATCCTTATTCATTCCACAATGACTCCAATGTCCAATCCTGCTCAAGCAATCAGTTGTTTGTTGTATGTTAAAAAGTAAACCAGAAATGGCAATCTGCCAACTACCACAAGGTTGTTAGGAATCTTAAAAGGTGATTGCACTGATATACACGCCATCAGTTTCCTTGATGTTTTGCTTCCAAATCACTAGATAAGTAATTTACTTCGATTTATGCCAGATAGGCCCTGACATTGATGCAAAGTTGGCCTTTGGATTAGCAACAGTATATTAATGTTTCAAACTCTTATGTTTAATAAAATATATCTATTAAGGAATCAATCATTTAGTGTGCAACATATCTGAGAATGCAAGAAATGTATCAAAATGTTTATCAAAAGTAGTTAACATTGCCCAATGTATCTGAGAAGGAGGGGAGGCACTTGGGAAATTTCTGTTCCATTTAACTGAAATAGATACTTGAACTGATCAGATTTTTGGGATGCTTCAAACTGATAAATTAAAAATGTTATTAAATCCGCATACTAGATTAATACTGAAACTCTGCTGGCAATTGAAATAATAACAAAGTTTGGGTATATTAGTTTTAGCTTTTCAACCAGTCAGAATTTTCTCTGTGATTCAGCTCATTTTCTAGGATTATGATTGAAGCATCTGATTATAAAGCTTAACTAGAGGGTTGTGGTATACGTGCATGTATGTGTGTTATTTGTGTGTGTGTGAGGAAATCCACAAGCTTACAAAGCTGCTTATCTATGTTTTAAAAACATGGTACCCGAGAGGCTGTAATGCACAGAAAAACTTATCTTAGCTCCATTTTTTTGCATTGTAATGCAATTCTGTTCTACAGGCATTGCTATTACAAAATTAACTGCAGTATCTCAAGAGCCTTAAGTGAATTGCAGCACAACATAGGATGGGAAGGAAGGAAGGAAGGAAGGAAGGAAGGAAGGAAGGAAGGAAGGAAGGAAGGAAGGAAGGATGGATTGTACAACTAAAGGGCAAGTAATCAATGTTCTCAGATATCCAGAGAATCATTAAATTGCTTTCCTGTTTTAAAGAGCTACAAGCTTTAATTTTCAGATTATGGCAGGATAAACTACAGTCAAGATGTAGAAAACAACCTCCAGTCTGTATAGAAGATAAAACAATATAAATGAAGTTTCTGTCACTTTTATATTGAAGGGAGAGTTGGAAGACTGCTGCCTGATAAAGTCTAAACTGTCTCCATCTCACTGAGACTGTTTTGTCAAAGAAGTGCTCTTTGATAGCTGTGTTGTCTGCAACATTGAGCTCTAACTTGCATGAGGCTTGTTTATGTCTGTGTACAACAGTCCCAAGATTTGAGCTTGGCTGGTCCTGTTTTTGCCCATAGAATGCTGATATTCCTATAAAAGCAAGAGAATGATCTTTCTGATATACAGTGGTTTAATTGATTAATTAAGTGCAATCCAGGTGTTGCTCACGGTTAGCAACTACATTGATGGATTTTCTCTATGACAATTTGTCCCTAACTTAAGTCTTTCAGGTTTTCAAATGAAACATTCATAGCCACTATAACTGAATTCATCCAACTTGTTCCTGGCCATCCCCATCTTCTCTCAAGTCTACATTTATCAGCATTGGCAATTTGGTAGTAATTATTATATATAAAACTTCCTTTTCTACAACTATTGCATATGTTTCAGCAGAAATACTGTCTGGACCAGAAAGTGTGTCTTGCTTTATCTCAGGATTAGTAAAATGGTGACCTTAGGAGCTCAAGATACCCCTGGTAAACATCTTCAAAATCCAAAATAATATTTAAAAGTAAATGTATTTGAGAGACTAGGGAGATCAGAGAAAAAACATGTTATCAGAAGAGAGTTAGTAAGACAAAAATATGGGGATACTGAAAAAGACATTCTCAGTCTTGATCCTAAAACTGACTTATCCAGGAGTTAAATGTCTATGAATTCATCCATTTATGAGAAACAAAGGGTTATCTGAGGACATTGGAAGCACACCAATCTCCTTTTTTAGATAAACACCTGTGCAAAAAAAAGCACAGGAAAAAAAAGTTCTAAAATTAAGAAGGGATTTACAACAATTTCTCCAAACATCTAATTGTCCAATTATGCTTTAATAACTTCACTATAAAATATAATTATCGATTGAAATATAAAAGAAACTGCATTTTGTTCTTTTTAAATTTACACCATTTTTTATTTGCTAATACTAAGGAGCAGCTGGAGTGAGGCATCAGCTTTGTGTTATCTTACCCATTGGAGAGCATAACAAAGCAACAGAATAGAACAGACGCTACAGTACAGACAGAGCAAGCTGATGAAGTAAAAATTAAAATTCAGAAGGTGGTCGACTGGGAAATTATCTTGAGAATATTATATTCAATTATTGACTTTAGTTACATTAATAATTCTAACTCACCTAAGAGGTCCTTCAGATTGTATATCTCTCAATAGAATGCAAGTACAGGATTTACATATTTCATTAAAAAAATCACTCTTTCCTACTTGAAGAAAAATTGGAGAGATGAGCATGTATGAGTCATTAAGCTTTTAGGTAATACAATAATCCCTTGTCATACGCTCCTGTAATTTCCATTACCACACAGGGGGGAAACTATCCTCAGGTTCAAAGCGTATGGCATTTGATCTACATACTATTAACAAGGTTCACAAACAAAAATGGTTGCAGTTTTTTAAAAAATATTAACCACATTAGCATTTTTATTTGTGCATATTTGTAATGGCATAGAAACATGCAGAACACAAAGCAAAGAATTTAGTATATATTTTAGATGACACTTCACAAATCCTTCTTTAACATTTTATTTAAAATGTGACATGATTGCCTATTTGGTACAATGCTCTTAATATTAAAAAAAGACCCAAAGTAATAAAAATCAAGGACAAAGTAAGACATCTGCTTTCCAATAATTGAATCAATAACAATACAATATCAGTCAAAACTATAAATTATTTAATATAAAGCATAAATCTGAAAGAAAGTCGTGAAAAGTCAATGATTCTTGGCAGTTTTATTGAAGCTTTGGGAGAAGCCAGTACAAAAAAAAAAAGGTTTTCTTCTTCAAACTCAGGGAGTGGATTGCTCCTCAGAAGCTAGTTAATGAATAATTTAAAATATAAATCAAAAATTGATAGTCAGCCAATGCAAGACACTTACAACATACTGTAAGTGTTCATATCAATACTCAGATGCCATATTCTGTGCCAGTTAGATTTTCCAAACCATAAACAGAGCACTTACAGGGATATAGCATGAATGCCACTAATGGAGGTATATGAATGGATAAATAGATTTTTGGCCTTGTCTTATTTCCAAACATATTTTCTATGTTCCTTACTGATTTAAGATGGCTTTGCTTGATATCCATCAGACCCATCTTTAAAAAGTTTATTTATGAGCAAGTCAATCAACATGAACAAGAAAATGTCTTAAAATCACACTGTTCACCTGGGCAGTTCCCAAGAAAAAAGCAATAGTTAATTCATAGGATTAGATCCAAGACATTTTGCTGCCTGAAATAAAGACCATGATGATATCTGTCTTTAATCCATGAAAAGGCAGAGATAAAAAAGAATTTGAATTGTAGTTCAAGGCTAAATAGTACACACAACTCATATATTTAGTGGATACAGAGAAGATGTATATGCTAAACATAGATCCCCTTAACAAGTACCAGATAAAGTTCTATCTTGTTTTTTACTATTTCACTTCACTAAGAAATTACTTCAAGATGAGTGTAAGATCTCTCCATTCACCATAAATACAACCCTCCTAAAAAAAAAAGGAGCTTTGGTGTAAATTGCAAGTCCATTACTTTTTAGTTTTTCACTTTCTGCAAAAATATTTTATTACTGTCAGAAAGAAATTTGAAAGGCATTGGACGTGAGATTTCCCTTTTACATCATGCTCAAAATTCATTCTGGAAACCACTCGTGTGTACAAATTCCGGTATTCGCCATTTCCTCTATCTGTTGTTCTTTCAGGTAATCATCAGATTATCAAACAAGTCTTCCATCTGTCAGGTATGAATGTCCACTTTTAATATGAGATTACCTATATAATTAACCTCAATCCCTTCTGGGGGAAAATGGATACTGTTTTCAGAATCTACCAGGGACTGGATTTTTTAAAAAAGGACCTTATATTTAATTGATGTAATTAAGCCAGCATGGATAAGCTTGTGTATTTGCATGTACCATTGCTACCCTTCCCATTTGAAATTTAAACTCTGCATGTTTGCCTATTAATATATGTGGACCAATTTTAATGTACAAAATCCTTTTAATTGAAAGTCTGTCTCATTTCATGGTACTATGTGGTTATTTGCCTGTTGGTTCTAATGTTTATCCTTTGCATTGTCTATATGACTGTCAAATCTGAAGTATTAGGTTTTCCAGGGTTCCTAAGCAGGGTATTCTTAATGTCATATTAAATCAAAATATCAAGTTCAGCATCTTGAATGCATTGAGAAAAAAGGAAGAACTTAAAATTTACAACACAGCGTCAAAGTGGCTGAACTGAAGACAGTTTTCAAATGATCTGACTAATATTTACAAATGAACTGGTTAATACTTACAAAAATAAATCAAAATAAGTAAATATTTCTTTCCATGCAGGGATTTTCAGAGGAAATTAGATGAGGCCTAGATAATGTGTTATGATTTTCTGTATATAGGCTGTATTTCAAACTCTATTTATATAGATTCAACCAAAAAGAAAAGTGTAATCTGGAATGATGCTTTCCGTCCATAGACAAATCCTCATATTTCAGTACATATAACAAACACAAACAAGTAGCTTGGCCCTAAATCCTAAATATAGAATTAGGGTTAAATAGTGAGGGTTATCAGATCTAGACTGTAAAATTCCAGTCAATCACCACATGGGAGCAAATGACTAGAATTTCCTATTTTTTCTACTGTCTTTCAATGGCTTAGTACATTATAACCACCTAGTGAGTAAAAAAAGAAAGACATTAAATGCATAGAAATATTAAAATCTGCCTATTTTTGGATCAACTTATCAGTCCTTCTAACCCAGAATTATCAGCACCATTGGCACAATTTTCCATGATTTTAGATAGGACTTTAAGTCTTACCTGGAGATACCAGTTATTTAAACTGGGCTTTCCTTTTTGCACAGAATAAGCTTTGTAGTGCTGTGCATGCTTCTAAAATGATTCAGAAGTAGTGCTGCTTTAAACCCTCCACATGCAAAATGTTTCTGCTGCTCATTAAACCAGCCTGACTTTTTAAATTTTCCATGTAACTCAGGGAGGGAGTAGAGGAGAGAGATGATAACGTTTTAAGGAACCCAATCAGCAAAGTTAATACAGCTATTAAAACACCAGGACCATGTTTTCAGTCTACTACAGGAAGCTGAAAAGAGTTTATCCATTTTAATTAATAGCAGAAAGGTCCCCCACTCACACCTGCATTAAGTCCAAAGCATTTAATCTACCAGAACCCACAATGCTCACAGTCAGCAAAACAGAGTATTGTCTGATGCAGGCTCCACCTTTTTGTATGTGCAGCAACATGGCACTCTCCACCCACCATATTGCCAATTTTGACACTGCTATAAATGCCATCTGCCTAACCTGAATCATTTCAAAGCATGCTTGGTCCCCATGTTCTGTTCTGCACATGCTTTCTCTTCTTCTTCTTCTTCTTCTTCTTCTTCTNACTTGCCCCCACAGTCCGGGTCCTCATTTCACCCACCTCGGAAGGATGGAAGGCTGAGTCGACCTTGAGCCGGTGAGATTTGAACCGCTGAACTGTAGATCACAGTCAGCTAAAGTGGCCTGCAGTACTGCACCCTAACCACTGCGCCATCTTGGCTCTTATTATTATATTATTATTATTATCTTATGTATTATATTCTAGGTAGCCATTGTGGACAAAAATGCTGTAAATTGGTAAATAGCTGATATCAAATTTCTATTCAGTAACTGCATAAATGCTTAACATGTTTCCTGGAAAGAACTACCGTGTTTCCCCAAAAATATGACATGTCCTGATAATAAGGCCATGCCACATTTTTCTGGTAGGCAAAAATATAAGCCCTCCCCCACATATAAGCCCCCCGGACAACTCCCCACTTCCAACCAGGCAGAGCACCACTCACCAACCTAGTGGTATCCCGAAGGTGCCAAGCCACAGAAACTGGGAGGGATGCAAAGGTGATCGCATTGCTTGGTGCCTTTAGGATACCACTAGGGTGGGGAGTAGCACTGTGCCCAGCTGTAGAGGGGGGTTGCCGGGTGGCTGCTCTCTTGCAAGCTGGCTCCGAAAGAGCCTGGCACAGTAGCCACCCAGCAAACCCCCTTTCCAGCCAGGCACAGTGCCATTCACTGACCTAAGTATATCAGCAAGCCGTGTGAGCACATGTTCAACGGCACCCAGCTCCCATGGCTTGGCGCCTTCAAAATGCCAGTGAAAGGCTCTCTGCATGGCTGGAAAGGGGGGTTGCGTAAGCAGCTGTTCTGGTCTCACTCACGCACCTCTCACCCTCACGATGCCCTGGCCCAGCTCTCCCCGCAGAGCCAGAGCACCGCCGCTGCCACCGCCATCCCAGCATGGCTTTTTTGGCAGCATCCAAACCGAGTCTTCCACAGTGGCCGCTCTGGGCGTATGCTCTATGGTTGTGGGCCATCTGCCAGCAGAATGTTCAACCATAGAGTGTATGCCCAGAGCAGCCACTACTGGAAGACTCGGTTTGGAAGCCACTGAAAAAGCCATGCTGGGATGGCAGTGGCGGTGGCAGCAGCGGAGGTGCCCTGGTTCTGCAGGGAGAGCAACAGCGCAACACAGCCATTCACCCATGAGGCTGTGCCCAGCTCTCTGGGAGCCCGCTTGGAAAAGAGAAGCCATCCAGCAACCCCAAAACAATAAACCCTCCCCTCATAAAAAGGCCCAAGCCATATTTTGTAGGTAAAAAGAAAATAAGACCCTGTCTTATTTTCAGGGAAACACAGTAGAAAAGCAACAGAATAACCTGTCTTAAAACTTAAAAAGTTTTAAAGAGGATAACTAAACATAGGCAATGGAAGATGACATGGTTTGTTTCAAGAAATTGCAAGTCTTATCTCTAAATTTAAACTTACACTGTTATCTGTTTTAGCCTTGGAGTGTAAATGTACTTGGAGAGCTGCAAAGAATTAGATGTTTTTTTTAAAAAAAAATATTATAATACTTTATTTATTTCATTGACATATTTATACAAAGGACATAACTTTAAATATCTTAACTCATACATACACCATCTCTTTTGCATTAATATCTCCAGTTTTAATATACCTTTTGACCACTTTCTCTATGAGCATCCTGTGAAATGGGGCGATGAAGTACTTTTTTACTTGCTGTAATTCTGCCTCCAGCAGCAATAAAAAAGGGTTTGGATTGGATTGGATTTATTACATTTATATGCCGCCCTTTTCCCCGAAGGGGACTCAGAGTGGCTCACAATTCANTGCCTCTAGTGACTGCACGTCCCAGGGCCAGACCAACCCAGCAACCAGACAGAGAACCCCTTGCTAAAATTTTGAAGCCCACCCCTGGTGAAAGGGTCTTATGTGAGTAGATACTCATAAATATAAGTGCACTGTGTTGAGATAAAATTGCCTCTGCCATGTTGCATTTTACACATAGGTAGTCTTCTCTTAACAATAAGTAACTTAGTGACAGTTAAAATTTATACCAGACCTGCCCAGAACCCAGTTCCAAAATTCCAATCGCTGCCCATCCCCATTGGTAGTCATGTGATCATATTTTGTGTCCCTTCGTGCATTTATAGCATTTGCAGGATACTGCAAATCACATGTGGTCTTTTGTATTTTGCTGGCTTCTGGTATTTACTTCAAATTTCTCATTGCAAAACTTACAAGAAAGTTTTTAAAATCAGGCAATCATATGGTGATCCATTAACAACTGCTACAACTTACAGTTGTAATTTGAGGCTCAATTACAGTGGTCAAGGATTACCTGTACAAGATTATATTCAGTTTTAATATTTGCAGGCTAGAGATAGTTCTAAAATTCAGTTGAAACTTCATTTGTAAACTTCCATTGTAGCTTGAAAATATTTTGAGAAATTAGAACGTCAGTGAATTACTAAATCAATCAATAAATGTCTGTTATACAATGAAGTTTAATATTCATTTGTTTGCTATTTTGCAAACAAAATATTACATGGCAAATACCTATTGTTTTCCTGCATGAAGCAAATATACCAGTGAAGCCTCAGGCGTTCTTGTAGCATTCGTAGCACAGTGATCAATTTTCCAGCTGAAGTTCTCATAGGAGTAACACAGCTGCTTCTGTGCTTAGGGCAATTAGTTCCTCTAAGAGAAAACTTTTTGCCCCACATTTACCTCTGTTTATGTACCAAAGTCTGAACAATCGTAACACAGGGATGCAAACATTGAAGCCACTGGAACATACACAGAACCATTTCATTTAAGAACCTTGAACACAGTTCTAACCCTAGCTAACCCAGAAAACAGTAAATATCTACATCAGCTAGAATAAGCTTTTCCTATTCACTAATAAATAAAGAAACCCACCATCATAAGAAGGGCCAAAAAAAAACAAAAACACCAGCATGTACAATAGGCCAAAGTTCGAGTACTGCCCATTCTTTTGGTGAGAGAGGAAAAATCTGTGTTTTGTTTTGAAGATCCAAGCAGTTTTTTTTCTAAGATCAATTAGAAAAATAACTCGAGACCCATATTTCTGAAACCTGTAAGAAGATAATGCTGAGATGGAGAGGGGTGGGGGGTAGAGAAATGTGGTCTCTAATAGCCTCTGATTAAACCAGAATTTCAGGAGAAATAGAGAGCCAGATTAAATGAAGTAGCAGGGAAGGGTTACCTAGGATGGTTCTCCGATATTTGGGTTCGGATATATATTTTATAATCTCTACACACACAAGGTTTAACTAAGACTGATATATCATTAAAAGCTTCTGTCTAACTACCTCTGAAAATACTTGGTGCTTATTATGCTCTCATGATCTGCTCTCAATCTTGTCTTTCTGGATAGCTATCCTTTGAGAACTCTTCAGATACTGTGATTTTTAGCTGCACTATAATCTTATTTCTTCAACATTACTTGTTTTTTTGCATGAATCCACCTAATTAATTTTTTTTAATTTTCTCTTAATGTTAATAAGAAAATAATTACCTTATATCTTTATATATTAAAGGAATTTTTGCACAAATGTTTTGCACAAACATTTTTATTGTTTGTATATTGCGGCTCAGAATTCTAAAACACACATTTTAATTAAATGTTGTCAGGTATTGCTTAAAAATGACAAATTCTATAAGTCACATTCAAATGCAAAATGTATATTTCCTTCATCCCTAGAGAACATTTTTAAATGTTTTAATTGGAATTTTAATAATAGTAGTAATAGAAAAACCAAATAAAAATAAGCCTCAAAATTAGCATTATTGATAAAACCTCATATGATACCAATAATATTTCAGTAAGATGACCATAATCCATCAATGATAATTGCTTTAAAAACATACAAATTGAAGTATCACTAATCATCAGTCTTATTTTACTTTGTTCTTGTAAGAGTTTAGGTGCAAATAATGAGATTCATATTGTAAATATTATATTGCTCCAAAAAAGTATGTTATTTATACTATATTATAGCATGATTGATCAATGAGATTTCTGTAAAAATAGTTCAAGCTTATGTTTTGTTTTGTTTCCTTTTTGTTTTTTTTGGGGGGGGGCAGGATTGTTGATGGAACAGAGGATGATGGCAACAATGAGGAAAACCAGGCATTTGAGTTTGGCTCTGAACAATTGCGGCAAGAATCCAGATCATCTCCTATCATCGGGGGTTAGTGCTGTATTGTACTTCACAAATTATTCATACTGCATCATTTTGGAGAGGAAAGCTTTTTTTGTATTGCATAGTGTGAGAAAAATCCTTACGTGTAAGTAGACTGGCATATCAAGTCCTACCAGAATAAAAGTGTCAGGAAAAAAGTGCAAAGTCCTTGTTTCTTAGATGAATTTTCTTGTCACTTAATAAATAAATGAGCAGATTTTGATTATTATAAATATTATTGTTTCAAAATCTAAGCTATTCTGAAAGACTTTAGAAGCTGCACAAAAGTGCTCATTACAATAATAGTGAATTAGGAAAGTAACATGTTTATCTAACAATTGACTATTTTGAGTAATTGACATAATTGATTAATAGTGTCCAGAATGAAATGCTATAAGGTCACTTATATAGATAGATTTAAATATTTAGCTTTAAATTTACTTGAAGTGTAGTACATGCAGTAATAAAAGAATAATATCTTTAAAATGAAAATAAATATTTACTAGATTAAAACATTATCTAGTAATATTGACTATTAAATAACTAATATTACAAAACATTGTTTAATAAAATTAAAGTATTAATTTTTTACAATTTGGCTTTCTGCATCAAAAAATATTCATTAGGTGAATTTTGAAAATGAATTGTTATTTTATATATTTGAAATCTTTTCAAATATTTTACATGTTTGAAAATAGACATTGAAAATGACACTAAGGTTTGTCTTTATCAATTGCCTAATAATGTTTTATGTCCTAAGTTTTGTTTGTTTATTTGCTTAAAGAAAGATCATGTTCCTTTTCTTATGAGCAGCCCTGTAAAGACCTCACTGAAAAAAAAGAGTAAAAGCTCTCTAGACCATGTTTCAGTCAACCTGAAGATATTTAATAATTCTCCAAGTCCTTCAAAAAAATATAAAATGATTGTGTAAAAGATAGGAAATAGATGAGGAATAACTGCATGTCTTACTTATAGTGGTTTTATGCATCTTGAGGCAAGGCATAATGTGAGCTGGTTTTGGCTGAGCCTAATATATGAATCAACAAATTATAAGTTATTATAAAAGTGCCTTGTACTGTTGAACATACTCAATATGGTTGCTAAATTAANTAACCTGGATACCAAGTACTGATTTTTACATTAGCATGCTAATGTATTTGAATACGTTAACAATTTAAGATGAATGTTGCTGGCTATAATTTGATATAAGTTTCACAGTCTTTTTTTTCTAGCTAAATAACTTTTAATCTGAGTAACATGACCCCTATCCATTTGTCCACCCATTGTCATGATGCTATGGAAATTAGAATTGTAATTGAATTATAGTGTGTATGCAGAGTTAGAAATATATATATATATATATATAGATTAAAAACAATGCAAGTTTTGGATTAGATTTTAAACTTTTAGCAAAAATCCACTTCAAAAAAGTTTGTTTACCCTTCTTTATTATTTTTATCAATAAACTCAAGAGCACAATTGTATTATTCCCCCTATTTTCACCATAATAGAAACCCTGTGAAATTAGTTGGGCTGAGACAGAGTGATTGACCCAATCACCCAGTTCTTTTCAAGCCTAAGGTGGTGCTACAACTTACAGTCTCCCACCTCTAGACCTGGTGTCTTAACCACTAGACTAAACTGGCTCTTTTACATATTAAGAAAACTGGAATTGAAGCCAATTTTTTTTTTTAGAAGTACCGGAAATTGTCATAACCTAATGTATTTTGTAAGTTACTTGTTAATACAAAGAAAGAGAGGAATCTTTGCCATTTCCATAAAAACACCCTCATACAAATATGCTATTTAAGGATTGAACAGGCCTTCACAAACTATTGTTATAGTATTTGGTTAACTGTTGCATTTAATGAGTTTATAATACAGTGTGGATTGTATAAGAAATGGGTACAGAAAATGACACAGAGTTCATTGAAAGAACTAAGGTTATATGTAATTTTAAACCAAATTCCATTTGTAGCATTAGTCGTCTTAACATACAAATGTTACCACTTTGATTCCTGCATTTCACAATATCTCTGTTTTGAATTATTTTTCATGAATACTCACAAATTGTAATGAGACATTTTGCTATTCAGCACTACTATATTATTTTAGTAAGCTATCAACCTTTCTGCAGAGAATCTTAATATAGCCTGAAATACAACCAGTTGTACTTTTTCTCAAAGAGGCCATTCACCTGCTATTAGTATCATGGAAGGTTCTGGTTTATGCTTATGCTCCCTTTGTTCAGGATATGAAGACCTGGAATACGGAACAGGATTTAAGAGGCTGTCCCAATTAGAAAGCAACTCCTCCCAGTGCATTCGTCTATATTAATTCTTTTTTTTTATTTAACAATTATATAATGGCTACCTCATGCTACTTCAAATGAAATGCAAGACTAATTAAAATGTTGATTATAAATTGTTATTATAATCTCTTTTACAGCTTGGATTTGTTTTAGGACATATGGAGTTTTTTATCTTAACAAAACATGACCAGACATAGAAAGTTGGTCTGATTGCATGTGCCAGGATTTATTATCATTGACTATATGAAGAAACCCATTCTCCAGGCCAATATTCCCCTGGTCTGCTGTTTATTGTCTTTCATCTTGCTATTGCCACTTGTCTACTTGCCTCCCCAAAGCAACTGAATATTAATGGAAGGGGCATCTTGTCTTCTTCCTCTCCTCTCTATTTGCATACATTATGAATTGAGCTTAAAAGGAAAGAATAACAACATAGGAATAGATAAACAAACAAGAGCAATGAAAGTTAATTTGTCCACACATTTAAATTGGAGTCAATGATGCTGTAAAGACAGGATATAAAGCTTTAATTTTTTATTATTGAGGATATAAATCTATTAGAAGGCACTTGTTTAGTTTGAGCTAAAATTATAAAGCATTTCCAATTAATGCATTGATTCTTTTTGGAGATATGTTTCATATGTACTTCATTCTTTTAAAAAATTCCCCAAAACTGATAAATGCATAGAAACATTTCCTGGCTGGGAGGCTGGTTAGATTCAAGTGGTTATAGCTCAACAACTTATATACCTATAGAACAACTAGCTTCCTTTCTTTTGGAAAAAAAAGTTTAATATAAATGATTCATTATTTTAGTCAGACTCCAAAGGAAATGGCAGCATAAATAAAAGACTTCCATCCATTGTGGAGGATGAGGAAGAAGAGGAAGTCATGACAGACGAGGATGGAGCAACTCTTTCCCCAATTCACACAAGAAGCACAGCCTCTCAGCAAAAGAAATCGGGAAGCAATAAAAACTATCTGGGGATAAACTTGAAACAGTTGGCCTCAGGTACTGTTCCCTTCCACTCACCCATCCGAGTTTGCAGTGCAACCTCATCAAGAACCAAGCATGAAACTGAACTCCATTACTATTCCAAACGAAAAGAGAAGAATCTGAAGCTGCATCTTTCATCACTTAACAGCATCATCCCTCCTGACCTCAGCCCTCGGTAAGCATCAGGGAAGCCTTGCTGAAATAGACACATTCATGTGCCATTCTTTTTTTTTTTCATTTCACTAAGACATATTTCTGTTCCTTGGTGTTAATTTCAATTACATTGCTGTTTCCACAGGTCTAAATGATGTGCGTTATTGGTATTTCATTTTGGTTGCAAGACTACAGTGCAGAGTATCATTATAGTCATTAAATGGTGCTGGAACACATATAAGAGTGGGCCCAAAATTTATTATTTGACCACACCACAAAATTTGCCAATGATATATTTTATTAATAATCAGAATAATTAAAGCTCTTATTCATTTTTTTAGGTGTTAGAATGCCATGTGCCTTAGACAACAGTATGTCTTCAGCCATCACTTATGGAACCTTGCTTTTAAATACTGTGGTTATTTCACGTGTAAATGTGTGTGAAGAGAGAGAGATGCCTACAAAGAATGGAGGTTTTGATAGCTATGATAAAATCTAATTAAAATCTATATATAAATCAGTAGAATATTGATTTGCCTCATTTTACTTTTAGTATTCCTTTAAAAAACCCATTGCAATCTGAAATGCAGCATCCCACAGATTTATCAGAATGATTTTCAGAGAGAAAAATATCCCATGATGTATGATAATGACAGGTTTTAAATAAATTGCTATAATCAGGGCACAAACAGGATTAGTGGACGAGTATATTCACACGGCTGGTTTTGTCATCCATAATATCCTGTTGCCTAGTTGCTGTTTAAATTTGCTGCTTGTGACAGAAAAACAAACCAATAAGGCACTGCTAATTGTAGTTTCCCTTTCTATCTGAATCAGAAAACCATGGCTAAGCATTTTGAAGTAAGTTGGAATATAAAGCTGTTCGCCTCCACAGCCAGATTTGTTTATGAGATATACACTGCAATTTTCATCTCAGACTAAACAAATATATATTATTAACTCTGCTTCTTGATTAATTTTCCCATTCATAACAGAGCAAAGCAACTGCATATGGCTGCCTCAAACTAATTAATTTCACAGCTTAAGCCAATTCTTGATCATTTTCATGTGGCCCTATATGACCTCATTTGAAGATGCAGTTATGAGTCTTACTGAGCCTACTTTGGGGGACTCACTCCAAGCTTAATTCATGATCTAACCACATGTAACATTTGCACTGCTCTATGATTGGCTCCATGCCTAAAGGATGGCATATTGTTATTATCACTAGCAGCTCAGCTGATTAATTTCTGGCACAGCAAGAACATAAGCAGAAATAGCTGCAAACACCATGTTGTACCTAAAATACCAGTGCCTGGAAATAAGTGGTTTCTCATTAGTAATTCTTGCTTCATGTGTCCTCTTGACTTACCTTTTGACTCTCCTACATTTGGGGTTAAATTGTATATAGAAGCATCTATGGCCCGTTTGCCCATTCTCTTCAAATGAGTCAAGGATGGCCTTGCGGCCCTTCTCACATCAGTTGGTCATTTTAAAAAGCTACCAAACTAAAAGTAGCACAAAATTGAAAAGTGTCTGGCTCATTATATTTTTGGTCTATGGTCAGATGTTTGGAGCATCTGTTAGGTCACAATGGTGCAAAAGCTCTGCCTTTAAGCACAATAGGATGCTGTAAAAACACTTGAAAGGTTGATTCATAAGCAAGAAAATCATGATATATACAAGTATCGCATTCAATCAGAATGGAAAGGTTCCTTAGGTTTTATTGAATACTTGACTGCATATTTCTCTAAAGTCCAAAAACAAAATTGTATGTATTAAACAAAAGTTTACAGATGAGTAGCAATTAATTAACGTCAGGCCTGGGGTTAAAGATTATAATCCGTCCCCTCCCGAATGATGAATGTTGCTTCTATTTTTAATTATGTACTGTTTTATATGTCATTGTGTGTACTCCCTCCCCTATACGTTGTAAGCCGCCCTGAGTCCCCTCAGGGAAAAGGGCAGCCTATAAATAAATTTATTCAATTCAATTCAATTCAATTCAATAGGAGAGAAGAGAAGAGAAGAGAAG